CACAGCACCAAGCCTGGCAGTTCAAGGAGTGTTTGGACAACGCTCTCAGGAACATGGTGTGACTTGGAGATGGTCCTGTGCAAGAGCCAGGAGCTAGACTTGATCCTTATGGAGCCATTCCAACTCTGCTTATTCTGTGATTCTATTTAAATGAAATTTCTGAGAAGGAAACCTATTGAATACTGATCAAATTTTTAAGTGACACTAGTTCCAATCTACTATTAAAAGGCGTTTACCTATTTAAGAAACCCATTTACCTATTTAAGAAACACTGTAAGAAAAAATAAGAATTATTTCTTAATGCCTGGAAGATCTGATTTAGAGGCATGGCAGACTATGCAATACAGAATTAAAATGAATATATCTAATTGTCCTTAATAACTGATTGAGTGGCAACACTTAATTTGTTAGTTGTCATTTGTTAAGCATTTGTTTCATTAACCATACTACTAACTTGAAATACTACTTTTTAAGATTTGTTTTCAAACTGTAAGAATTGCAAGAATTCTATATGAATCATTACCAAAGTTGTGGGGAAAATGGCATGAAAAAAATACTTTAAAAAATAATCACTTTGACTAGAATTGAAAACTCGCATGTTGTTTTGTAGTTCATTATCATTTTTATAGCTATATGATAAACTCTTTAAAAAAACATCAAAAGCATAGCAAATTAGCTTAACTATCATAAACAGGACAATAAAAATAGCTTAATAAATCATTTTGTTGGTATTTTTCATAAACTCGAGCATAGTAAAGACTACTTATTTTTAGATTAAGGCACATTCATTTTCATTGCAAGATAAGAAACCTTCAAAGTACTCATCATACTCCTATTTCTGTATCAAAATCAGTAGATTTGTCTTCAGTATAAAAAATTAAACATAATTTAAATAGGTATGAGTAGATTTATTATGTAAAAGATACATTTAAATGCCAGAACAATCAGTAATCTTCTCTTCTGGTTGATGACACTATGATACAAAAATCATCATTTAAAAGATGATGATAATACTATTTTTACTCAAATTTAGATTTTGTATATAAGCTTTTATAGACATATAAAAGACATTGTAAGAGTTTGTCTTTTATCTGAATACAATTACTGCAAGAACTACACATTTTTCTGAAAGAACACTTGACTACTTATGGAAATGCTAATTATCTCAATGGGTAAACTACTCAATGATGACCCATTTTGATTTTGAAGATGTCTAAAGTCTAGATTTTTTAGAGCTAAGGTAAACAGTCTGAAATGTTAAAACCCCAAAAGCCAAAGTAATACCTTGTGAATACCTAGGGTTATAGTGCAAATAAGTCAGGGAGTGTTTTGTGACTCCACAAGAAGATGCTGGAAGAACGCTACATCTGGAAGTCATAGCTGATCTTCCTGTCTACTGTTTTGTTCTTTAAAGAGTAAATTAGAGAAAGCAGAAATTAGACAATATCAACAAAGATTCAAGCAAGCCACAAGATTAACTGTTCTAAGGACCAGGGGAGAAGTCTATAGGGAAGTTAGCAGTTCCTTGTGAACTGCATTAGAAAAGATATCCAATAGACTGTCACTCTGCTTTTAGAAATATGAATGAGTTAGATATTTTCTGCTCTAAAACTTAAATTTTCATATGTGAAACAACATATTTTGAAGAAGAAAATGAAAGCTTTCTACAGGACTATGTATTACTAACTTTGTCAAGATTCTGAAGTGAAGCACCTAAATGAAAATCCATCAGCCTTCTACAAGTTTGTCTCAGTTTGTGATAAAATTATCAGACTTTTCTCAAGTCTTAAAAGACATTCCCACAGACAACTGATCTTTATTTTTGTAGAAATTATCATGGATTACAGCTACAATATGCCATAATGTGAATGAGGAACTCAAGGTGCAGATTAGTGAATCTTGAAAGTCTCAAATATTTTCTTCACTAACATCAGCTAATTAGATAACCAGAACACTTTCCAAAATGACTGGAAATAAATCCATCAATTTTTGGCCAGATTTGTATTTCATCTCTTCAATTTCATAAATACATCAAGGAATAATATGGCTGTAGCATTTTCATCTTTGAAGAAAAAGGGTGTATTTGTCTACTGCACTGTGATTAGCATGAGAAGCAATTGAGACTACATTTAAGGCTGAGAATATGGTTATTTCTTGGTCTTTTGATCAACATATATTAGTCTTCTATCCTTCCTGTCTTACCAAATCTAGAAAACAACAGATGGCTGAATTAAAGAATAAGAAATTGAAGAATCTGTGCTCCTTATCAGTTAAAATGTTGTGCTTTGATAATATTTTTAAAGTTTTACATAATTTCAGTTATATTATCAAGTATGAGCTCGCTCCTAGAAATGTTTTGATAGTGTTAAACAATTAAAAGCAGACAAAATCAAGAGAAAACCTGGCCCTGTATAATCAAATGGAATGAGACAACAGGACAATAGTATGGGCTTATCTGCTTGGCTTTAAATGTAACCAGGCTGCATTCAGCTCTTATTACTATCTGCCAGAATACAGAATTGAAGTTAAAATTTAAGGGTCTCGTCTTTGAAAGCCTCAGATAAGTAGACCTCCTACTGATTTCTGTTAAGACCTTTGAGCACCAAGGAAGGTTTG